TACCTATGGTTTGAAAAGCGTACCATGGTGGTATGAACAAAACAAGACTATAGGATGGTTGAATACATGATACTAGAAGTATATTAATTGTCATTTACGACTTTTAACATTGTGTACCAGGTGGTATTGTATGGTATTGTGTGGTATTTTTTGATCCTGTAATTTGTTCACCCAGAAATTTGTAGATCCAATAGATCATGATGAATTCGTCCCTTCTGTGCAAACGTTTTCAAAAACGAATTAAAAACGGAGAAGATACCATATGGTATGCAGTTGGTACCGAGAGGCCAGAAATTTTTTTCTATAAAAATATTGAAAATTGATCTTATTTTGTAGAGCACGATGAACTCGTTCCATCTGTGCAAAAAAAATTAAAATCCGAGTTAAAACGAAAAAGATATAAGTCAATTAAGAAAACTAGGGAAATTAAAAATTGTCTTTAATTCTCATTCCTTAGATCTGGATTTTCTAAATGAAGGGTCCAGATTTGGTTATTGATGGGTGCATAACCCATGGTTATGCACCCTATCTTGAGCCTGTAGGGTGTATTCCAAACATTCTACATATACCATAAGTGTACTGGTGCCTTATATATCCTACCAAATATATATGGAGGTTCTCTTCCAACACCTGTACCATTTTACTTTTCCTGTTCTCTACGCATAGTACGGAAGGACCTCTTGGTCCTTTTGCTTAGCTTTTTAAAATTTGTGGGCTTATTTTTATTAAGGAGCCCCGCCTTCAACTGTAGGAGTATATTTAGGAATAGGTTATTAATTAAATTATATATCACCAACCGAGTTGATCTTCAAAAATTACATATAAATATATTTCTTTATTACGATAATTTTTTACATCTCACAACTTCATGTAAATAGTCTAGATGGTGCATAGTTTAGGCCGGATGGGAATTTCATAAATTACCGGTGAAAGTAGACTATTTGTGTAAAATTTGAGTCAATTTAAGGCATTCATCCATATTTTTATTAGCCTAATTATATATATATATATATATATATATATATATATATATATATCTTACAATTTATTGTGTGTCCATGCCACGTGTTATTTATGAAAAAGAGAGTTGTTTTTATGCCACCATAAGGTGTGGTGGATTCAGATCAGTCTGTATATAAAGTGCAAAATAAGATGTCTGATGGTATGAACATGAATGAATTATCAATTAATTATATTCTCTCTAACTATTGCACATTGTTTGAGCCTAGAAACTATTACTCTCGATTTTACATTTTCAGAAATTGAGGCACATAAGTCAGAGTTGAGGAGAATTGATCAACCATTGACAAAATTAGCAAGAAGGAAACGTGCTTTTTATATCAGGCAAAAGCATATATACGAGAAAATTGTCAACATTCCTACTGGTAATCCTTGAAATTCCTCAAGTGTTTGATATTGGAATCCCATCATATAAATGTGAATATTGTGGAGCAATGATGTGCAAGGGGGGAAGTACAAAATCCATGAGGAATTCCAATGAACCAAAGGTTTCATTGTGTTGCAGACAAGGCAAAGTGAACCTCCCTCCTCGAAGGCAGCCTCCAGAGTTTTTGAATATGCGATTGCAAGCAAACACTTCAATGGGACGTCATTTTTTGAACATATCCAAGCCTATAATGGGGTCTTTGCATTAACTACAGTTGGAGGTAAGCTGGATCGATCTATAAATGATGGACGTGTAGTATATTTTTATTCGATTGGAGGTTACGTATATCTTCGAAACAATATTATGTTACCTACTGAAAGGAACAAACCAAAATTTTCTCAACTCTACATTTATGCCACTAGCAATGAACTCCCAAACAGGTTAGATTTTTTCTCCACACCTCCAGCTTCAAATCCTTTGCGCTATTCAATTATTCAACAATTGTAGGAGATGTTAGATTCAAGTAATATCTTAGTAAAGTCATTTCGATATGCAAAGGCTAGACTGAATGACACCAAGTTGAAATTAAGTTGTTTGCTAAAAGAAAAGGGGATGGTAGGGAATATGATTTGCTATTTGCAAATGAGGTTGCTGCTTTAATTGTTGAATATACTAGGGAGCAAACATTTTCTCCTAATATTGTTGTCCTGTAGCAAAGTCACGAACTGGAACAAATTAGTATATATTATCCAAGTTTAATGGTTTTGCAATATTCCATATTATTCTCACATGGTGAGGATAGTTGCCACCCGAATATTCCATATTCTGACGATGATGATGCATATGGTTACAATGAGAAGAATGTGACTTACTGTGAGTTTTACAGTTATAGACTCCAAACAATATTGGAAGAATCAAATGCATTGCTATTGTGTTGTTCCAACAATATTTTGTTAATACCTATGCATATGTTGTTAATGTCGTATGTTCTATACATTTTCCGAAGGGATTCTCTACAACCAAACAACTATTGATGACAATGGTTAAACAAACAACTTAACCACTATTATTTAAATAATCGACAAATTTGCAGCCGAGAACACCTTCTCCTCAACTGGATCAACCTTGCTGCTTGCGAATCCAAGAATTTTGGAAGTTATTAATTTTGGGCCAAGCTGAAATTCACGACAATCTAATCACTGTATTTGTTTATGCGTATAAGTTTGAAGTTCGAAGAACAAAAAGAGATTAATTGAAATTCTTATTTGGTGAATAAAGTGATGGCGATGCACCAACTCCTCCTATGAAAATCACAAGAAAAGCCCAACAGCCAATCCCAACCAAAACACTGCATGAGCATAATCAATTAAAAATGAAAGATGATCTCTAAAAAAATTAAAAATGAAAGATGAAGAAGAGGTGAGTATCAGTTTCGATTTAACTCCCCATCAACTATCAAATACTAAAATTTTATGTAATATGTAGGGAAATATATATTCCGTCAACTGCAAAGTTATCAAGGTTAAGAATTGATGGTGCTATGCTAGATGCGAAATCTGTCCACAAAAACTCGAAGAAGACTCTGATGAGCACTTCCGTGGGAATTGTTCAACGACATTAATAATGACAATAGCAAGGTAATGCATAGATTATGCATGCCAACTGATTGGATATTTAATTTTCTACAACATAATTTATATTATTATTCTTACGCGGAATGCATAGATTATATTACTAATGCAAAAAAAAAACATTTTTATTGAAAGTTACCAATGCATGGCCCAGAATTCAACAACTTATGTACATATTATAATATTATATTAAATATGGTTAATATAAACAGATTTCATGAGATTGGTGACTTAGTAAAAGATGGATATATGCATTTCATACAAGGCTACGTTTCTCTTCCATTCACATTTGGTTTGCACAAGGAGAGGTGATTGTTTGATTGGCGTGAACTTGCCTATCTATTTTGGTGGGATGTATTGATTGAATAATTCTGAAATTTTGCCTTTACCAACTCAAAAATAACGTATAGCTTGACAGTTTATTGGGTTTTTTAATGTCACTGCCATCAATATATAGATTCAGGACCAAGCTTCGAATTATGGTCAAAACAAGAGAGGCTGACTTTGTTGTTATTGATAGAGTGGGAGCTCGATTTTTTTAGAATGTCTGTTGAAAGGTTACTCCAACACAACGATATAATTAGAGGACCACTACCTGCTCATCTCTTACAATTTGAGGCAATGATCTTGAAGTTTTGCATCGAACTCAGACATTACAATATTGCTAATCCAACAAGTGAGTACATTATGAAGATAGGGAAGGACGAGGTAGATCAGACCACTGATGATCTTCCTAACTTGACCGAGGTAAATTCTATTTCAATCAAAATGATGAACATTATTAATTACAAATTTGTGTTATTCTATATTGGATTTAGATTTTTATACCAAGCAGAATTCATACAGTTATATTATATAATCTAATTGATAACTTGCAATACACGGATGAAGGGAGCTGATGTTTTAATTAACAAAATTATATTTGATGAATTATATTAAAATAAATCTAACTCAAGTTAAAAGGTGGAGACCACCCTTTTATTTCTTTCGTTGCATGTTTGGAAATATAGTTGATTTAGAAATTCTAATTTTCATAGAACTTTGCTTTCTTTTCCACTAACTTGCAATTAATTTTACCCGACTATTTATCAACAACATATATTGATCACTTATAATTCGATAGAATCACATCATAGGTTGTACTTTTAAATGTCAATAATTTAAATTCATAATACTGATGTAGGAGAACAACAATGAGAAAAATATAAAAACTGGTGATGGGGAGAAAGAAGAAATTCTCAATGAAATGCACGAAAGCATGAAAGAGATAATTTATTTGCAAGAGAAGAAGGAAGAGTCAATTGATATTGAAGATAAAAGTGTCTTCCAATGGAAATGAAGACCTTATTAATGGTGACGATCAAGTTGCTGCTCATGCCGGAGCAAATGCAAAGAACCCAAAAAGAAAACGTGCAGTAATCTCTAACGATGAGGAGTAACTAGAAGGGCCATTTTGAATTGTTGAAATATTTTGATTATTTGGATTCTCTTATTCTCCCAATTGATTTAAATGTTTACATTATTTGAATAACTTAGATTTTCATATACTAATTAGTAACTCGAATACAAATTGCTACTATCATTTACGTGATTGACAACTGAATCCGGCCAACTGGCCGGGCCCGTGACTAGTTCCTAATTAATAACTTAGCGTTCTCGTAAAGCAAAAGTTAAATAAATAAAATTCGTTAGCTCGCCAATAAAAACACCGTCAACCTTCAGCCTTGCCCTAGAATTTTCTTCTCTCTTGCTCAAAACTCTTTCTGTCTTCCCCTTCAATAAATAGGGTAGTCCCCTAACAAAGCTTGCCCCACGTCAACAAAAGAACTGCAATGGTGACTAAAGCCCAAAAAAGGGAGAGACCATACAAAAGCAAAAGCCATTAAAGCACATACCAAAGCAAAAGCAAAAGTTGGACCATGAACAGAGTATGGAATAATAACCATCACTTCTTCATACTTTTTTGCTCATCACTCACTCTACTTACTATACAAACCCAACAAACACAAAATCAAACCTCAAAAACTCCCCCAAACCAATCCCCCCACTCCCAACTCTCCACTTCCCTTTCCACAAAACAATGGCCATTCATTTCCACTGGTCACTACACCTCTACCCCATCCTAATCTCACTCCTAACCATCCCCGCCGCCGCCGCCTCCGCCACCACACGCTGCCGGACCACCTGCGGCACGATCCCAATCCGCTACCCGTTCGGCATCGACGACGGCTGCGGCAGCCCCTACTACCGCCGCCTCCTCCTCTGCTCCTTCAACACCCTCCACCTCCGAACCCCTTCGGGCACCTACCAAATCAAATCCATATCCTACACGGACTCCCCGCACCTAATCCTCACGGACCCATCCATGTGGGCCTGCAGCGACGGGCCCAACTTCCGGCCCACCCAGCCCTTCAGCCTCGACTCCAGCACCCGCCTCACCCTCTCCCGACACAACGACTACCTCTTCTTCAACTGCAGCCCGGCCCGCGTCATCATGGAGCCCAAGCCCGTGTTCTGCGAGCGCTTCCCCGACCGCTGCGACTCCACGTGCGACACCGCGGGTTACCTCTGCCGCCACCTGCCCGGGTGCGCCTACGCGCTTTCGTCACGCGCCGGGGCGGTGTCGTGCTGCTCGTATTCCCCCAAGGCGACCGACTCGCTGAGGCTGATGCTGGAGTATTGTGCCACGTATGCGAGTGTTTATTGGAGGAATAGTGACTCCGGGGCGAGTAATTACTACGGGGAGACGCCGGAGTATGGGGTGCGAGTGGATTTTGATATTCCGGTGACGTCGGGGTGTCTCCGGTGCCAGGATATGAGGAGAGGTGGCGGCGGGACTTGTGGGTTTGATACGGTGTCGCGGGAGTTTCTGTGTCTTTGTAGGCAGGGGAATGTCACTACTTCTTGCGAGCAAGGTAATTAATTAAGATCCATATTACTGAATATTGACCTTATGTTCATGAAAAATAAAAAATAAAAAATGACAATATTAACGTTATCACTAAACTTAGCTAATTTGCGTATGTATCGTCTATCGTGTCTGTTCGACGCTTTGGAGTTTAATAAAGTTGGCAGTGTAACGATAAAAAATACTCTTTCATGAGTTCATCGATAGTTCGGTTGTATATGGACTATCGAGTGTCGTCAATCGATTTTGCAATTTGGTCCTCTTTATGTGCGCCTTCCTGACATTGGGTGGGGGGAGAGGGAGGGGGAACTAGGCCATTTGCAACGTGACTTAACTATGTATCTTGACAACATAAATGCTAAGCGCATTTACTCGTAAGAAAAAAGTGTCACTATGCACTCTCTCGTTTACTATTGGTATAATGTCGGTTCATTTGGTCAGTTTGCTAGTCGAGTCGTATTGACTTGTCAGATTTACCGAAATCAGCCAATCAGTTTCATGCATTGATCACAGTTGTTTGATTATCATTTCGTTACAATTTTTGTGCGCATTTTTGTGTATATTTTACAAGCTACTTAGTTTAGTTAGCATTTTGTTACGATTTCTATGCAGGTTGGTAATCGTATTTTACGCATTTAAAATCCTTTGTTGCAGATCATGATCAGCAAGGTTCTTCTAGGCACAGCAATGCCGGAGTGATCGTAGGGACGGTGGGCGCGGTTTCGGCGGCCGGAGCTGTTGGGATCGGAGCTGGGGTTTGGTACTTCAACAAGATTAGAGCTAAAGCGCCGGTCACTTGTGGAGTTCAGAGCAATGAGAACAGGCTTTTTTGAACCAGAATTAAAGTTGGTTGAGTGGGAATCAAATTATTTTTTTTTTTTAATTATCCATCACATTTTTTATTGGCTTGTTTTGCTTTTACAGTCAAGTTTTGTATATTAAGATGGTTGTAGTATTGTTGCTGCCCATCCTTTTTAGGACATATAGAATCCACTCTAAAAGAGAGACTTGTATTGCAAGTAATGATAATATTCTCATCAGTCATCACCACCCAAGAATGAAGAAAGCTAAAGTAATCTACATTATGGTTAAGAGTGCAATCACTCATTTTTGGGGCCAAATATAAAGTTGATATCACATTATGCCTAGGAGAAAGCAATGATCTAATAAATCATTTCTATGGTGGCTGACTATGTAAGGGCATTTGGTTCTTCAATCAAATAATCCATAATATAAATTTAGTGGATAAAATAAATTGATTTGGTTCTTTTATTGTCTATATAACCTAAAATCATTTTCATGTTACGACGGAGTGAGTAATCGACAAAATAGGGGGAAAAACTAGTACATATGCATAATTATGATGCACTAATACAAAGTGTGTTAAATGCAAATAGACTGACATACATGTCGTTTGGTTTTGATGATAGTTTAGGTGAAATTGTTACAAGGTGTGCATTGTCGATAATGCATCATTTTTTGTTTGTTTTCTTCCACAATGCATTCATCGTTCTGTTGGTGTGATGGAAAGGATCACTCAAAATGAGTGATATTAAATATCTCATGTAAATTTTGAGATTGTTGAGATAGTTTATTGGGGATAGTTTGATTTTGTTTTTATCCCAATTTCCAATTATATTCCTATATATATACCCATAATACCCTTGAAATTTTATCATCTAATCCGCTCTCACTTTTTTCTCGAGAACACCATGCTCAGTTCCCTTCCCTCCACTTTTTTCGTGGATGTCTCCACCACCCGCTCAATTTAACACCCACTGCCTTCAAAATTTCATCGTCGGTCTAGTCTCCTCTGTCCCGTCATCGATCTAACATCTGCAATTTCTGTATCTTGAAGTAGAATACGTGTGTCTATATCCATTGCTTAATGTGGCGTGTTCATCAATTGTGTGTTGTGGCTTTTGCATTCAATTTTGCTTTTAGTGATAACCCATAAAAACAAAGGTAAAAGTGATATTTCATGCTAAAAAGAAATATAAATTTTTGAATGCTAAAATAACTATCACCAAAACCAAACAAGGTAAACTACATTACATGATTAAATCATTTTCCTTATTTGCATATATATTACAATGCATGCATTGATCATAACACATTGATTTAAGTATCAACAAAACCAAACTAACCCTTAATAGTTTTCTTTTTGTCATAGAAATCCTTGCGGATTAACCAGATAAGCGTGTGGGGTCACAACAATTACAACCCCTACACGGACTCAAAGACAGACCATATAGGAATAATCAAATAATACATTACATATACCAGGATAGCGAAGGGCATTATGTGCCACAATATGGGCAGCCTGGTTCGCTTCTCGAGGTGTGTAGGCCAAAGTAACCAAAGGTAGACAGGGGAGAAGAGATAACACTTCACGATATATTGCGCCGCACCGAACATCATGAGGATTATTAGTCTGTAACCGCTCCAACTCAGCTTGTGCATCACCAGTAATCTGAACAGGTTGATCATACCATCCCCAACGGGAAAAGGAGGAGTAAAGCATACCGGACCGCCAATAATTCCACAGTTGAAGCATCAATTATCCCTGGTAGAGCGCACCCAAATCCAAAAGCAGCCTGACCGCCAACAAAGCCAACAATACCAACTGCACCATGAGTGGGAGATGATGTCGCTCCGTCCAACAAGCAATCCGAAATCCGGAAACTCAATTGTGGAGCACGTAGTCGGCGAGGTGGTGGTGCCTGGCGAGAAATGGAGATTGGGCGACAATTTGATGATCGGCCTGGTGCGACAGTAATTGACGATGAAGGCAGGCGATGGTAAACTAGGCGTGGGGAAGGAAGACAACATTGTTGCGACTTTTCCATAGTCGCCAAAATAATAGTACCCAGGAACTAATAGAGCTGATATCCACATTGAATATGACATGTCGCCAAAACAATAAAAGATGGGTGGTGAGAAGGAGACCAGGAGACAAATGGAGCCCTACCAAATTACGCAAAGCAACTGCCACCGGACAGCGAAGAAATAAATGCTCGACTGATTCACCTTCTGTGGACTCACAAACTGGGCATAATTCTTCAACTTGTACGCCATGGCGATTAAGGTCTTCCCTGACAGGCAGAATGCGCAAAATAATACGCCATAGAAAAAATTTGAGCTTAGGGGAAAGGGGAAGTCCCCATAATTTTGGCCACAATTTCGGATCCACTGGGGAGGCCGAAGAAACTTTTTTCACTTTTGGAGGCGGTTGCGCAGCCATAGCCAGGCGGTAAGCAGATTTGATGGAGAACAGGCCATCGGATTGATAATGCCAAACGTAACGGTCAAAACCCGGGGTCAGAGGAATTGGAATATTTAAGATCGCAGAAATTGAGTCATTAGTAAAAAAATTGGCGCAAACGGTGAATATTCCAAGTCCCTGAAAGAGGAGAAATAAAGTAAGAGACAAACTGAGAGGAATTGGTTGACACTTGACGGTGATAACAAACCCTTAATAGTTAGGGTGTGCCTACGGTGACATGCATGTCACGGTGACTTGCACTTTCCGGTCGACCTCAGTTAGGATTAGGTCGACCTCACATAGAATTCGGTCGACCTCATATAGGATCCGGTCGACCTCATTTAGGATTCGGTCGACCTGATATAGGATCCGGTCGACCTAATATGTTGTTTCAGTGTAAAAACAGTTCATGGTGCCTACTTTGGATATTCATATCATACAATTGGCTAGATGGAAATTGAAGACTAATGACTTGTTTTGAAGCTGGAGTGTCCCTCTACATATTGAAGTGATTGAGAGCTCGATAGGAAGTCCAGAAGACCATTTTTGAACCTCATCAAAAGGCTATGCCAAAACTGGGAAACTGCCTAGAAATGGCTAAGTCTGGAAACGTGTTTGTGAAGCCTATTTTTGAGCTTAATTCGAGAAGCATGAATGCGAGTCGAGTCCAGGAGCCTCTACCACGTTAAATTAGGTATGCTTTTATACAAATTCAAGGAATTGGATGAAAGATTGGATATCTTTAAGGCTTCAAACAAAAGGGTCGAAGTTGCTACGAAGGCTGTTTTTCTGGCAAACTTCGAGCACAAGCAAGCTGCCAGAAAAACAGCCTTCGTAGCAACTTCGAGCCTTTGTTTGAAGCCTTAAATATATTCAATCTTTCATTCAATGCCTTGCCTTTGTATAAAAAATACGTAATTTAACATGGTAAAGGCCCCTGGACTTGACTCGCATCCATGCTTGTCAAATTGAGCTCCAAAGTAGGCTTGACAAACACGTTGCCCCATTTTCAGGCAGTTTCCCAGTTTTGGCATAGCCTTTTGGTCAGGTTCAAAAATGGTCTTCTGGACTTTCTATTGAGCTCCCAAGTACTTTAATGTGTAGAGGGACACTTCAGCTTCAAAACAAGTCTTTAATCTCCAATTTCCATCTAGCCAATTGTAAGATATGAATCTCCAAAGTAGACACCATGAAACTGTTTGTACACTGAAACAACTGATTAGGTCGACCTGATCCTATATGAGGTCGACCGAAAAGTGCATGTCACCATGACATGCATGTCACCGTAACAAAGTCCTAATAGTTAATACAATAAAAAATCAGTAAAAAAATACAATAAAACAAGTCTCAGGCCCACTCCAAAGCCCGCGCTTCGGGCGAATACCCACAACGGCCCAGCCCAAATTGCTGAACATTCTGCGGCCCAGCTTGAAGACGGAACCGTCTCCGCGAGTTTGAGTCAAGTCTCATTGTCTGGGTGAGTGAGGGGAAAGGTCAAAAACGGATATTCCAGTTTTCAATCCTCTATTCCCAAAACGCGATTCAGGTGGAGGGAAACGTCAACTTGACGGCGAAGCAAAATTCGGTCCCATTTGTCTCTCTTCGCGGTATCCCTGCGCTGGGAGATCGATTCGATATACTCTTGCCGCCTTCCTATCTTCCCGTCGCCGACACCGATTCCGCCGCCGGCTTCGAAAAATCCAGGTGAAAACTCGCAGATCTAGTGCTCTTTTTGCCCCCTCTCGGAATCCCCTAAAATGGCTGCCCACGTACATATCCCAATTAATTAATTTCTTTCTTCCTTTTAGTTTCTTTTAGTTGCAGAGAGAAGCGCCGGCAGAGCGACTGGTAAAGCTCTCTGAATTCCTCTGTGGTAATGCGTTTCCCGTGATTGATTTTCGTTATGATTGCTTTCCCATCGAATGTACGGGCCCTTTTGAACGATCTCCTAATGGTTGTTGTGATCGCACTCTCCCAACTCTTCTCTTCCTCCCTTCTCCAGTTTCTTCGTCGGGTTTGTGATAATTCCGCAATCTAAGGTGTACGGTTTGGATAAAAGTTAATAATTTCGACCTGGGTATTCGCTTCACTGCTGGTACATGTTGCTGTTGGTACATAAATCTTGGGCTGGGGTGTGCTTTGGATTCTTTGACTAGTGCAGGATTGAATGCTTGTATTTGTCGGTTAGGTGCAGATTCTGTCTCTGGTTAAGTGTGTGTGTGTGTTTGATGTGCACAACAACATAATAGAAGAAAGCTGAGAAAATTCTGCTTCTGTTTCTGGGGTTTGGATCGCATCTGCTATGGGGCACAACGTGTATTTGTTTGTTTGCACCACATTTGTTGCTGAAATGATGGATTGGCATTTTTGTTGGAGCTGATGCTTGCCTATTGCTCGGGATTGTAGCTAAATTCTTCAGAGGGTGGTTCTGGAAAGGGGTATCTGTGGCTCTTTACCTTAAAGGGTACCAGTGATCCGCCAAGAGACGTTTACAGAGAAATGGCATCCACAGAGGGCCTTGTGCCCATCACCAGGAAATTTTTGGCTTCTTATTACGACAAATACCCTTTCCCCCCATTATCTGATGATGTCTCTCGTCTGTGTTCGGAGATTCGCTCTATCATCCCTGATTTACTCAAGGAATCTCCACCTTCTTCAGGTTTTTTCATGTCTCCCTTTATCTGGAATTTACATGGATGATGCTTGGTTTTTCATTTGTTATGATGATGATTTCTACTTTGAGGTGCTCTCTAGATAAAAATATTTGACTTCACTGCAGAAGAGAGTTCATTGGTAGATGAAGCGGGTTGTCAGCCTCCTCGCAAAGTTGATGAGAATATGTGGAAGAATCGTGAACAACTGGAAGAAATTCTGTTCTTACTTGAGAAATCACGTTGGCCTCGTGCAGTATATATTCGTTCCTCTTTTTCCTTACCACCTTCACAATAGCTTGCTTGCCTATGTTTATATGTTTTATGGTTTCATGAAATAATATTAATGTTTTCACATTTTGTTCCGACAGCTTCAACAGCCCTCAACTTCCGATGACAGTGAAATTGCTATTGCATTTGTCAGCATTCATGACAAAGTTCAGAAAACTTTGAAGATGTTGGAGGCTTTCCAATCTAAGAATTCTGAACGTGTATTGAATATAGGTTAGTTCCTTATTCTCCATTTTTCCGCCTCTTTTTAAACTTCTGTATCATTGTTGGAAATGTTATATTTATCTTCAGTTACTAGACACTTTATTTTCAAAATTCATGCTGTTTGACTAACCATTCATCATTGTGATTCCAGTGATGACATACCTACCTCAGGATTTTCGAGCGACACTTATTTTACAGCAAAGGGAGCGGTCGGAGAGGAATAAGAAAGCAGCCGTTGATGCGTTGGTTAGTTCAGGAGGAACCATACGTGAAAAATATGCTCTGCTTTGGCAACAACAAGTGGATAGGAGACGGCAGTTGGCTCAGCTTGGTTCTGCTACTGGTGTATACAAAACTCTTGTGAAGTATTTGGTCGGAGTTCCAGAGGTACTAAGTCTAATGAATTCTGTATCCCAAATTTGCATTGACCATGTTGATTAGCATTTCTGTTCTACCCATTGGGTCATTTTTGGACCCCTCAAAGCACACAGAGCTGAATGAGTTGATTGCCTTTATAATTCAATTTTGTCCCTCCAAGCCCTTATTCAGTGTTTTTAGTTACTGTTGAAATACTTTTTGAGCGCTTCGTGCACATGAGAATCTGATGCCTGCCTTACGTTTTCCCTATTCTGTCTTGATTTCAGGTTTTACTAGATTTTGTTCGGCAGATAAATGATGATGATGGGTATGTTTGTTTTCTTTTTGGTATAGTTATTTGACCTACGAAAAATAAAGACCCTGAAGGTACCTGCTTGATGATAAAGCTCAATCTGTTTGTAGGCCAATGGAAGAGCAAAGACACCGATATGGACCCCCTTTATACAGCCTGACAACTATGATTCTTCTAGTTCGAGTTTTTGTTTTGCTGTCATGTAGGAGATTTGATGCTGGCCTAGTGTAAGTTTGTAGCGTATTTTACATTCAACATCACATTTCTTGTTGTGTTTGAACTCTTCTTTGACCATGCTTCTACTTGGTGTTGCTTTGTTTGTCTGAGCAGAAAGAGACATCATATCACTGTATTGGAACAAGCTGTTGATGTCTACTCCAATGAGTTTATAAGGTTTATCACCTTCTTGAGGTATTGTTGTTTCCTAGATATCTCTTTGATATTGTTTGTGCTTCTAGTTGTAAGTCTGAAACATAGCATTCCATCTTTGTGACAAAGCATCATGTTCATGGTAACAGAGCCTAACTCATAACCAAAAAAAAAAAAAAAAGACAACATACTGTGTGTGTTGCAGTTGGATATTTCTTGTTAATGTTTCCTTACTGTATAGTTACTTCTTTATGTAATACTGATTCATAGTTTTGAGTTTGACGAAATGAATGTCTCAATTTGGCATGGGAATTGCATGGCTGTGTTATTACGCTGTAAACTAATTTGTTCTCGATGTTCTTATATTGTTTCATATGTCGATTTGTCTCAGTGAGGTCTTAGCAAACTCTCCGTTCCTTATTTCGGCTAAGGATGCTGGTGCTTTGGATGGAAGGTAAGTTTTTTCCTGAAATTGTTATGACACATTCAGGTCTCGACCTTTATAATTTGGAAGGGGCTGTTTTCCTGCAATATTGTTTCCGATGCAGGAACAATGATGATTTCAAAGAAATCAGTGTTGCAGCTGGGAGCTCTCATGAGGTTAGTTTTCCCTATGTTCATTAATGTTATATTGTTCCAATCACGAACAGTGTTTCCTGGAATTGATCACATAGTTACCAAAGGTGTGTTGAGCCTTAGACATGCCTCAGTTTCGGATGCCAGGAGCACCTTTGCTGCACCTCTCCCAGTCTGTTGGTGTTTTCTGTTAATCTAGCTGTTATTCTCTCTTATGCTAATTCAGTTGGTATTGCTTCCTATCTCCATGGAGCCTTGCTTAGTGTGAAACTGTGAATACACATGCATCATGTCAAAACTAAAACAAGAACGTCTTACACATTAGTAGTTTATTGATGAGGAAAGGCTAAACAACTCCTGCTTCCCGTAGCCATCTTTGTTGTGTATTTTGGTTTAATATCAGCAATCTGGCATGCTTCTTTCACTAGGAACTTGTATTATTTACTTAACTAGTCTCTAGTCTTCTTGCTCTACACATGTGTTTAAACTTTCAAGGACTTCATCTGGTTAGAAATTTGTCAAGTGCTGCTTGTGACACGTTAGTTCAGATATCTTGCTTATGACAAATAATTATTGGATACTCCAGGTGTATAATCCCGTTCAATTAAAATAACATCTTCCCTCTTCTTTCTCCTTAATTAATAGTTTATTACATATTCTTATGACATAACATTTATTCATCAGAACAGTGTCACTGCAATGTCTTGCGTGTTTGCTAGGAGATTTGTGTTTTTAGCATATTTGTTGAGTATGTGTTATTACAATATTAATATGTTTCAGTGGCTTCTTTTCTAACTGCTGTGTCGTCCCCAGGTTTTGTTGTCAGTGGAATCGATTAACTCCTACATTGCTTGGGATTTCTCACTGATACAGGGCAAGATGAGCTTGGTACAATTCTCATTGGAATGTCTCTAAAATCTTTGGTTCCTAGTTTTCCTGAATTTTTTAAGAGTCGATAATTTGTTGATAACATGCGAAACCTGAATTAGTTAGACTCGCATAATTTCAGTGGTTATTAATTTGTCACTGTTTACTGATCAGGACATTGGGTTCAGTGTGGAGTACATAAATCCTTCAGGCCAAAAGACCGTGAGTAGAACTACTGTGTTGGTGGTCCTGTCATGTTATATCATCCTTGAAGCTATGAAATGCTTCCTTAGATGTATTTATCTGATTTCTGTTTTACTTGTTCTGCATGTTTGACTGCTGCTCAGCTAATTTTACCCTATAGACGTTGCGAGTCTGACCAAGTGAGTTTTTCAGTACCCTGATTTTAGCTACCTTTGAATCGCCTCTTGCATTATACCTTTTAAAGAACAGAATGCCTATAGAGAGTTCACCCGTGACCCGTTTGCATACATTGCTGCAGGGGAACTTCTGCACGGTCATGACCGGAGATTACAAACTTGTTTGGGATAACTCCTATTCCAGCTTTTTCAAAAAGGTAAGCAATGAACTGTAAGAGTAACCAAAGGCTGATTCTCGATTTTAGATTGGTTTATTCCGTCTTGCTCAAAACTGGGTTGTTTTGGTATTGATTCCCGGGATCATGTTCTTAGGTCGTAAGGTGTAAGGTGGATTGCATCCCACCGGTTGTCGAGCCTGCTGAATCGAGGAGTGAAGTGGAAGGATAAGTAAATTCTTTTTTTACCATCAGGACTTTATTGTTTGTGATATTACTCGAGATATCTTCCCTCTCTCCTTTCGGTCTGAGAGAAAAGGGTGTTTGATTTGGGGATGGGTTTGTATCTTGCTGGCCCTGCCCCTTATTTCCCCGTAGAGGAAGAACGGTGTGTTGTGTGAGACGTTTGCCTGTAGTTCTTCTCTGTTGTATACTGGATTGTCTCTTGGTTAAATTCACTAGCGTTCAGGCATTGACACACATAAACTAATCAACATTTGGTTTCTTATACTTGCTCTTCTTCTGCACCTGCGCGTTGTCTTTACCCTGACCTTACTGAACACTGAAGGATGTAGCAATCTGCAGCTTGAATGTGATGATAAGTAATCAACTCTGTTTCCATTTGTTGTTGCTTGCACTGCAAGCTATGTATGGTCGAACTGTATGGTGGAACCCGAGTCTTACGATACATTTACGACGGATGATGGTGAAGGAAATTTGTGTAATTCATTATTCAATCAATCAGCTTCGAACTTAGATTGACGTGAATCATCCTCCTCCTCCCCCACCGCCGCCTCCACCTCCTCCTCCACCACCGACTCCTGCTCCTCCGAATCCACTCCCATGACCTTCTCCTGCTCCACCATTTCCACCACAACCGTCACCTCCACCTCCTCCACCTCCAAAGAAGCTCCCACAAGCTTCTCTTCTAGTGATTGAGTTCAAATTAAATGGGGAAGAATGTGTAAGTGGAGGACTGAGTAGGTGTGTTTGCAACCTATTGGAATTGAGACTTCTCAATTCTCATAGCCTATTATCTTATCATTTTTTTTCCAATTTTTATATCCTAAAATAATATATTATATATAGAGATGCTATAACTCATGCCGAACTACAAAATAAAACCAACCGCTTTAGATTTCAAACACATTTCACAATCCCCCTCCAAAACACATTTTACAGGGTCAGGTGCAGTGAAACATGACTTGGATTGGCGGGCTGATGAGGATTGCAATTGGGCTTAGTCCCAGCCAACGAGCCCAGAGACAGGGCCAACATTGGGCCTTCTTCATCCTCCTCCTCCTTCTCCCCAAGCAAGCTTTCTGTGCCACAATAGTGATGGGCCTTATCCCCTTGCTCCTCCTCCTGGACACAGCTTGTGGGTTTCAAGATGTCATTGAAGATGATGTAATAATTACGATGGCGTTGATCGTCATCGTCTCTCCTCCCCAATTCCCTGCAACATATAGCAATTAGGATGTAGCTCCAGGCTAGCCCATAATCATCGATGTAAGTTTAAGTAATTAAGCAATTGATTACCTCTTGGGAAGCTGGTGATCATGATCATCAGGGCCATAATCCATGTAATTAGTTGACGTTGGGGAGCAATGATAGTCACGTTGCCCGTTGTACAACCCAAGCTGTGCATTTCTCTTGGCTACTACTCCCACTGCTTCTCCTGCAATTACCAAACGGAACTAAGTGGTCAAGAAATCCTGTTGGTGGTAGATATATGACATGGTGGGATTAGATGTTAATTACGGTGATTATTTTATGTAATATGATATGATTAATAGGGGATCATGTACATATATACATACCTTGCATTGCCTGCTCATGCTTCATGCTCCTGTACATCTGCCCAAATCCCCAACGCAAATACATAATTACCACTTAATTAACAATGTAATTAGGAACATGATCGCACCGAAAGTGGAGAGATGAAAAAGGTAATTATAACGTTACATATAACTTTTTTGCCCTAAAAAACCGCAACGCTCATGAAAGATTTTGCTTCCAGTTGACTTTACTTTATTTGAGCGAGAATCTAAAATATACGATACTTTTAACGAGTTACTTGAATGCTAAATTATGCGAGAATCTAAAATATAACGAGTTACATCTGCCCAAACCCCCAACACAAATGTATAATTACCACTTAACGATGTAATTAGGAACATGATCGCACCAAAAGTGGAGAGAAAAAAAAGATAATTATAACGTTACATATAACGTTTTTTCCCCTCAAAAAACCCGCAACGCTCATGCGCGATTTTGCTTTCAATTGACTTTATTGGAGCAAAAATCTAAAATATATACAATACTTTTAATGAGTTACTTGAATGCTAGATTATGTGAACTCTTTACCTCCCCAAGTCACTTCACTCGCTCGCTACTACGTACAATTGCAGTTAATTAGCCGATATAAGAATATGTTTGCCGATCGATAACGCGAAACACATGATGTATTTTTTCCTCTCGCGCGCGTTCCTATCTTAATTTCCTTTTTTTCCCCTCCTCCTTCCCCGTTTCGTATATATACATATTCCTTTGTTATATATCTCTGTACTGTTTCGATCGAGTCAACAGCTCTCCCCGTTCGTAACGAGAAATCCACTCAGTTATATATAAATGAATAAAAAAAATCCATAGGTAGTCAAATAATTAACAAAGACACGCGAATCGAGTCGAGATCGAGCAAGCTCGAGCGATTAAAGAAAAAAAAAAACCCCAACCTGGAGATGGCTCTTGACGTGGGAGATGGTGAGTCCCTTCACATCCATAATCTGCAGAACCATCTTCGGCGTCGCCCCTGCAGCAAAAATACAACATCGCATCAAACCCTAAAAAAAAACTCAGCAAACTAATTAAAACGTAACCAAAAACTCAAATCATTTTTGACGTACGGTCTTCTCCGCCGAGGCGGTCAACGGCATGGACGAAGCACCGGTGAAGATCCGGAGTCCACCTCAGCCTCGGCGACTTTGACCGAACGTAAGGCCTCACCACCACCTCCTGCTGCATCGCCGCCGCCGCCACCTTCCCCCCGCCGCCGCCCAATTCCCATGAAGACGACGTCGTAGTGGATGATGATAGAGCAGGAGGAGTAGAGGAATATCCACCCTCGTGCACTCTTTTCATTCTTGCTTTCTGCTTCTGCTTCTGCTTCTTTGGGTGTAAGAGAGGAAAGGGAGAGGAGGGAAAACGTATGTAGGGAGGAAAGTGAGGTGGTGGGGAGGATCGGGGGGAATAAATGCAACAGTGGAAAGAAGAGAGTGCTGGCCGCTGGGCTATTTTTTTTTTTGAGTCAGTGAGATCTGTTGCGGTGTTTTGTCAGTATGTTAAGCTTGCAGCTTTTTTTTTGTTGTTGTTGTTGCCATGGGACGAGTCAGTTGCATTTGCATTTGCAGCAGCATGCAGTTTCGTTTTTTTTTTTTTTGAGAGTTTCGATTTTGAATTAAAGGGGGAGAAGAGAAACGCGACACTGGAATTCCGGGTCCGACTACGTGCGCGCTCTTATGCTCAATGGACAACAGAATGAATGATATAATTATTAGTAAATTAATAAATAAACAGCAAGAACCATGCATGGCATTCTTTGGCTACACATCAACATTCTTCTTCCTCATCTTAATCATATACCACACACTAACAAATTATTGTATGGTTTATGTATCTACATAGATTTGAGCAGCAGCGGATCGGGGGGACGGCCCAGCCCTCCCTCGATCAAGAGCTAGTATACCACTTGTAAATTTTTGATTTTTTGTGTTCGTTTCAGTGTTTTTGCGTATTACGACCCAACCCTCTCCGTTTTTTTTTACAGTGCTCTGTTCGGTCCTGGATCCGCCGCTGCATTTAAGTGAGGTTAATTTGTTTCTACATGTAGGTTTTAGAAGAGTGTAACATCGACTTAGCTCCGTTATTTCGATATTTGTTTCTGCTTGTGTAGTCTCGGAAGGGTTACCCTGGGGAAAAGAAAAACTTTTAGTAAGAGTTCAAGCGGTTTGCTTGATTTTTTTTTTAATCGTTATACTGGTCAATCATCTTCAAACCTTCAACAATATACACCATACAAGACCGATATCAAAATAATAGCATACGATCGTCATTATACTTTCATGTTCATTTCGAACCTTGTGATCGACATCCCGTTTATATAAAAAAAAAAAACGTTATTATGCATGACCACCTACACATTTTGAATTGTTAACTAGTGAATTTGGCTGGATGTTATTACAGCATGATGATGATCAGCAGCTGGTAGCAGATACGTAGATATATATATACGTGGATACGTTGATTCCACGAATTGTGTCACTCGTGTGTGGGGAATATGGGTTGCTTGTGGATTGAGGAATGGAATATATTTTTGTGTGCATTATTATGTCACCCAATATTCTTCTTCTTTATAGTTTTCAAGGGTCGCATATATGACGGAATTTAACGTAGCTGGGATATATATATATATATGTATGGGCGGGATACATCGTCACCTTTTCTTTGGTTGTTTCTTTCTGTATTGAAATTGAAGGCGACAAAACTTAGGCCAGAACAAACAAAGCTATAAGGTTGCCTTGAAATGGCAAAATGCGACCCAATTCTCTCATCAAATTCCCACGCTCACTTCCCTAAAATCCACAACGTGTTGTAGTATACTATTATTCATCCCACAAAAGGGTATTTAAATATACTATTTGATTTTTGTATTAAGGGAATTTAATTTGCGTGGACGATGAATTCATTTGGATAATTCTAGTTGTTCGCAAAGGTTCGAGAACTTATAGAATGATTATTATTTACTTGATTGAAACGAAACCTCAGAAGCCATGAGCGAAAATATTTCCAAGGCGTAACTTCGTCGTGATACTACTTTGTAAATAATAAGTTCATCTGATTGATTTCAATTTGAAATTTCTCAATCATTTTAAATGAAAAAGAAGAAAATAATTATAATAATAAGAACTAAAATGTGTTGGATAACTTCATTCAAAACAAAATTTATTTAAATCGTTACTGAATTAAATTGGAAATGCTTTTCATTTTTTTTATAAGGGTGATATAGGTTACTTTTTTTGTGATTAAGGGACTACTTAAAGGATTTGAACCTGGGACCTCCAGGTTCTAGACCAGTGGTATTACCACTAGACCAAACCCTTGTTCGTTAATAAATATAACATGATCATATTTTGAAAAGATAATCCTCTAGAGTGCATGAGTCAGAAATCCGAACGAGACGGTTGTCTTGAATTATTTTGATTGTATTCTAATTTCCTAAATTTGCACAAAATTTACATGTAATTTTATCTATATTATAGAGGGGATACTGCCCTTCTTAACTTCAACCTAACACCACCAATGTCCTCTAGTAAATCAGATCATTCGAAAAAAATAAAATCTTATATCAACAAAGATGTAAATTGTAAAATTATTTTTGTACAGTTTCCCCCTACTCACTCATTCTAGTATAGAACATGCATAATTAACAAGCCTTGGCTCTTGTTTTCTGGTTTTGTTTAGATGGAAGTTATAGCTCAACTTTTGATCAGAAACTTCCAAACATCCATAACCGCAAAGTGAGCAAATCTAGACCAACGTACAAAACCCTAAAGAAAAAGCTAAAACACCATTCCACATTTGCACGAGGAAGAGGAGAAAGGCCATTTTTGCTCTGTGATCTTTCCTTTCCTCATAACTTCACCAGTCAAAGCATATGCGCTCTGAAACTGAATTCTTTCTTTAATAACAAGAATTCTTGCCACGTAACATGCCTTGCTGGCTCCGGCAGTGACACGTGGTGGTTATGAAGCGTCACCATTGGTCGTTGGGCGGGACTTTGCCCTTATAGCTAGCTCCATGCATGAGAGGCATTTGCTGACATCCGCACATGTTTATATTAAATTAATTTCAGATTCTTTTTTTTCTTTCTCTCATCCGTTTCTTCTTTGGTGATCTAGGGAATTGCTCTCTTGCCGTTATTTCTATCATCAATTCTTCTTCTTCTTCATCATCATCAGTCCATGAGTGTCTATCATTCCATGGCCTTGGTCTTGTGCAAGGATTAATTAATATTATATTATCTACCGCATCGGTCGAACCGTAAAAATTTCATATTGTCGTTCAGATTGGTACAATATACAAATGTCATCAGAAAAACAAAATATGAAAGCTTACATTAAAATATCTACCAATCTCGAATATAATATTATATTGTATGATACAAATTGAATATATCATTCGATCTAATTTTATTTTAACAATGGTATTCCACTAATATGCACTCAGCTGTCTCACAACTGAATCACTAATACTGTAATACATCATTCTTTAACTTGTTTGGTACGACTTTCGGTATCATAAACCATGTTCTTACTACTGTGAAATTGTGACCTAAATGAAATTAATAAAAGAAAATGGCTGTCATAATTTTCTGAAACCAACCCTTTCATTCATTTTTGACGGCCTATTCCTCTGGGCCAACCTAGCTAGCCAGCCAGCACTACCAGGTCCGTAATTTATTGGGCTAAGGTTATCAAGGCCCATCATTCATTGTTCACTTCACATATGCTGATTTTGTTTCTTGGGTAAACTTGAAATGGTATATTATTATGGTTGTGAGAAACAACCCAAACTAGATCCAACAAACTAAAACCCACCCCACAGGAAAAGCCCAGCCCACGAAAACAAGAAACTCAACAACACTAAGCCGAACAACATAGGGGCCCGAGTCAGGCCCACACAAAAGGTCATCATCGACGTCAATCAAAGCGTGGGAAAAGAAAGAAAGAATGAATCGAGAAAAGACAGAGATTTAGAGCAGCGGCCGAGTGTGACGGCGGCGTGCCCGGCCGCAGAGAAGCGCGTTCTTGGGAATCGGCAGCTCATCTCTCCACGAATGCGCCGCGCTATAAACCCTCAGATACAGCTGCTGCCCGAGATACTGCCTCGCCCAATTCTCCGATCGAATGTTCCACATCCCCACATTGTCCAGCGCCATGTAGATCGCCGTCCACGACCTCGGATATACCTGAACCGTGCACCGCGACACCGTGTCCCTCAAATTGTACCGCAGCCTGCTCGCCGCCGTCCACTGCCCGCCGTCCATCCTGAAAACCAAACAATCGCCTCGTCGGTCAAACAAATTTGCTTCGAGTTGGGAAAAGAAGTCAAAATTGACTCGGATTTTGCTTACCCTACGACGAAGAAAGCGTGGCCGTCGACGTGCCACGACTGAACAGTGTCCTCCCAGTTTTGAAACACGATCTCGACGAATTCTCTGAAGTTCGCGCCCATTACTGAAGTTTGGAGGTACGCGTTCCCGCCGGAGTTCGGGCTCATCGGGATGCTTCCGACGTTGAATACTCCCGGGATGTTGAAGTAGTCCGCCAGCTTCAGCGGCGTGTCGGCGGGGGTGAAGGAGACGCCGTTGACGGCGTACCTCTGCTTCCCGTTGATCCAGGGAGCGGAGTTCGCCAGGGTGATGGTGCGGGTGGTCTTGATCATGCCGTAGTGGTATGATCCCTGTGGGTTCGGCCTTGGCCCGCTCGCCGTCAGATTCCGCCTGCCAAGTGTTCGATGAAAGGAAGTGGTTAATTATTGAGACCAATTGGTTTACTAGCTGATTTGTCCTTGATGAAAGTTTACCTAATGGTTCTGGCTTGGTTGAGGGACCAGTTGATCTGAGTGGTCGGGCCGCGAGGGACGGGACCGGAGACTCCTTGGCGGGAGTTGCTGTAGTGAAGGACGGCGATGGTGGTCAGGACCTTGGTGGTGAACCTGGTGGAGATTGCGATGTAGTAGTCTTTGGCCGGTTGGTCCATGGTGACCAAGACAGAGTAAGACTGACCCAGATGGACGTCGAGGCTGTTGTAAACGTTCTGAACAGTGTGAGCTCCTTCGGCCTCCACCAACTTCATCTTGTGGCCCTCGAATCTGAAATTGATGGACGTGGCAAGTCCCACATTCGATATCCTAAACCTGTAAGTCTTCCCTACAAATTTGAACATTTCGATCTTAGTGTAAGTCGAATTGTGAGGAAGAACAATTGTGGATGATACTGTTAGTACTACTGAGACCTACATGGTTCGACTCTGAAGGTGTTTCCATTCCATCCACGGCCATTGATGACAAGCCCATCTGGCATGGGAAGAGCACGACCGGCGTTCAAGTACCTCCTCAGAATCTGATATACAGCATTGAAGCCAAGAGATCAGTAACGGTGATCACTTAAACTTTTCAGTCAGTTAATTAACAGAACAATGTGGCTGGCTGCTGCTCTACTTACATAGTGATTGGTCTTGTACCAATCTCCAGCTAGAAGGTGGAAGTCACCAGCAGGTGGAGGGAAAGGAACTGGGATTCTGGGACGGCTCCAAACCCTAATGCTGCCATACGCACCAGCAGCCTTGTGGAAACCCAGAGATGGGAAGTAGAAGAAAGTCCCGATTTGGTCCTTGAATTGGAGAATGTAAGTGAAGTTCTTTCCAGGTAAGATTGGACAGTTGGTTCCGTAGGTTCCATCTTGCCATGAGTTCCTCCTGTGCTGAATCCCATTCCTAATCAAAGCAGACGAGTTGATGAGATTGCTAAAATTGCAGAATCTGGGATTAAAATAGCAGCATAAAAAAGAATCATTATTATATATGCCAAGCCAGGCCAAGCAACAAGATGGGTGTCAGAATGAGATGGGTTGTTGATCTAGAGAAAGGCAACAGCATGTGGGGGACGAAGGGATCAATTGAATGCTGCCAGCTGCAGAAAAGATGTTGTTGTCTTTTTCGAGATACGGTAAATGCGTATATCCCCATCCCAGACTTGGTTTAATCTAATGAAAGTTTAAAGCTGAAGTGCTATCAACTTAAGGGCTGCAAAAAGGGAACTTCTTTACTGGGTTTCAGAGAATGAAGGCAACCCAGATTCAGGTGCTTGACATGAATTTTAACGGCCAGAGCAGACGGATCTCGTATGTGAAAGGGGGGAAGCAGAAGTTTTAATTACCAGGAGAGGAGGAAGGGCTCTTTGAGGTAGTTGTAGACGTTGATAATGACGTTGTCATTAGTCACGGCGTCAATGTGAGGGCCTGGGAATCGGCCATTAATCATTATCCCCTGCAGAGAAACAGTTCCAGACAAGGAAGCAAAAAAGAATCAAAGATTGGATCTTTCCTTCAAAACCCAGAAAGTAACTGTTCGGGAAAGAGGGAAGAAAGGGAATGGAACAGAATAGAAGACCTGTTGCTTGACTCCTAGAGGGTAGACATCGCCATAGGTGATTTTCCAGGTGTAGAATCTGTAGGGCGAGTCTGCATTAACCCCAGCAACAGCAAGAAGCAAGAAAATGGCGAGTGAAGAAACAAGAATGCTGCTTCTGCTGCTGCAGCTACTGACGGATTCGCCCATGGTTGTTGTCGAAGAAGAATGAGATCTACTGTAGAAAGAATGGGGAGGAAGGAATGAAAGAATGACTAGTTAAGAGTAAGGAGCAGCAGATTTATCATTTGGAAGGAGAAGACATGTGAAATGTGATGCTGAGTATGGGACTAATGCTCTTCTGTAAGCTTTGCTCCCTCGCCCCTTACAAATACCGTACCAAGTCATTACTACAAACAATGACAAGTTGACAACCCATTTTTTTTTTCTTTTCCCATTTTCTTTTAGTCAAACCAATAATGGCGCGCGGCCGCGGTGCGAGATGGCGGGGGCGAGAGGTCAGATTTGGGAGATAGCTAGCTCAGCTCAGCTAGCTGTCAAAACAATGTTCACATGGTGTAGAATGCAGAGCAGCGGTGCAGCAGTAAAAAAAACAATAGCACGATCTCAGATAACATTACCATCCAAATGAGATCAAACATTTGAATAGTTGGTTTTGCTTGGAAGCTGCTGCAAGGCTGCAGCAATTGCATATGGTGGATGGATGCAGCCTCTGCCACTCTGGCGAAGCCCATTCACGTGCCGTTGATTGAGGCTTTAACTGGCTGAGTGAGTTGAGTTCATTGTATCGTATAGTGGAAGTGGACAACAAAAGGTGCTCTGCTTTGTTACCCGTTTTCTGCCATTTTTTCACTTTTGGGTTCGTCTTTTTACTCGTGGGAATAAGTGGATCTGCAGTCTGCGTTACTCTGAACTTTTATATTTGTTTTTTGATTTCCGTTAGTGGGAAAGTGATGCGATAAGAAAAAGGGGGAAATGGTGGTTAAGGAGGAGGACGCGCTCTGTTTCGACTTGCTCTGTTTCTTCTTCCTCTCCCATGTTATGGCCGTGATTAATGCTTGCAATTGGGTTGTAAGGGTCAACTGAATTGATTAGCGGAAAGTGGTTTGCTTACAAAGTTCTGTCATTTTGACAGTACATAAATTATCATTGAGCATTATTTCGTTAGGGCATTCCCCCATGGGTGATTTTGGAGGAAATAATAGCATATTCTTTGTGGATGCCTTTTGCTGTTGAAGCTGGGAGTGATATGAATGTGGCCATTCCAATTTTTAAAGGTTGCCTCTAATGCAATTTACTCGTTTTTTTTATAGGAGTGAATTTTTTTTATAATGGTTTATAGGGGGTATCCATTTTATAGAGAGCTTTAATTTTTGTACTCATCCTAATTGTTAGTTCAGATTATGCATGGTGAAAAGGAGCAGTAGAGTAGTCTTAGCTCTAGAATATTTCGGGAAAAAATTGAAAAGATTGAAAGATAAATTAGATTTCTCTCTTCCAAGTAACTCATTTTAATTTGATATCTTATTAATAATAAAATCTGTCTATTCATACTTATTTAATCAAATATACTAGATAATTGGACTGTGTTGCGTGGCGGTTTACCTAAAAATGTATGTGTTCATTAGAAGTGAAGAGCACTTTTGTTTTAAATAAATGTTGATGTTATTAGAGAATGAAATAAAATTTTCAAGAAATATAAACATTTGGAATACAAATATAGTTTTCGATTGAATAGTTTTTTTAGAATTCTGGACAGACATCACAACATCTTTAATAATGAAATCACACATTGGTCGTCGTCCAATTTCGATTGAACTGAAGCCAATGATACTTAACATATATTTAGGTGCTTAGTCACTGTGTGTGTGTAAGCTTCTATATGTAGTGACCTTTAAACTTGGACAACGATTGCTGGATCCCAGGTGTAGTGCTCGCAGATGCTTTCCCAAGGGTTGTTGCCGCCTCTTGCTTCCCGAATGTCAGGGTCTCCGACGCCATATCTGATGAGGACATCAATGGGCCAGTCACACGTGCTAAGGCAAGGACGTTGAAGGAGAAGCTTGCGACATATTTGGATAGCTACTTTGGAGCCATGGATGTGGAGCTATTTCGAGGGAAGCCATATATGATGATTCGAGTGGAGGAAGAAGGAGGAAGTGCTGAAGAAAAGGCAGATTGCAAGAAGCAGCCTTAACGGGTTTGCTTAACGGGTCCAGCCTTAACGGGTTTTCTTAACGGGTTGGGCTTAACGGGTTTGCTGGGCTGTTCCGAGTTTCCTTGTTTTAAAGTCGGTTTATGATTGTTTTTCCATGTTAGAGTCGGATTTGGGTTGTATTTTGCCTATTTAAAGGGCTGAACACGTTGGTTTTGGAGATAGACGATTATTATTGAATTTCAGAGGCTAAAGCCGAGTTCCCTACGCGGAATTTGCCCTAATTGCTCTGTCGAGAATCTCCAGAGTGCTAGAGCGACTCTTATCAGCTAGGTAATCACCCTGGTTGTGGCGAGCTACCCATATCGATTGCCCTTTATTCCGAGTTGAATCTGTCCGATCGATTCATATATCGATTGCCCTTATTCACGGGTGAGTACTGTCCGATCGATTTCCATCCTATCCGGTTCTGTTTGGTTCGAGAAGCTTGACCCTGTGCAACTTTGATTATATCAAGTGGTATCAGAGCTAAGGTTCAAATCAGTGGCGTGTTCTTGAAGTTTTTCTTGAAGGTCTTGGCGTGTTCTTGAGCCGCAAGACAGGAGGTTGTTTGTTCTTGGGAGTTCTTGGTGTTTCTTGCGAGGCAAGAAGCAGGTTGTGCGAGTTCTTGTTAAGTTCTTGTGTTCTTGGAGTTTTCTTGCATCGCAAACATGGAAGCCGCACTCGAAGCGATCAGAAATCAATTGGAGAACATTGCTCGTGCTCAAGAAGAGCAAACAGCAAGGCTTGCTGAGCAAGCCACGAGGATGGAGGCTGTCGAGACAAGGCTCCAGCAGCCGGTTGTAGTCGATGCAAACCCTAACCCTAGACCTCGACAAGAAGAAAGGGGAAGGGAAAACCGAGCTCCTCCACCCTTGGTTCACGAAGTACAGCGTCATATGCGCCAGCATAGACGCCTTGGAATGCCTCGAGCTGAAAGGAGAGAGCGGCAGCAACATCATGAAGAGGAGTTTAATGACGAGGAAGAAGAGGGCTTTGAGGAGGATGATGATTTGCGAAACCTCAAGGTCACGATTCCACCTTTTCGCGGTACCACGAACCCTGATGCTTATTTGGATTGGGAGCGAAAGATGGAACTAGTGTTTGATTGTCATAACTACTCCGAGAAGAAGAAAGTGACATTGGCTGCCCTAGAGTTCTCGGATTATGCACTTGTTTGGTGGGATCAGTTGGGAACGAAACGAAGGAGAAACAGACAGCGTCCTATTGAGACGTGGGATGAGATGAAAGGAATTATGAGGGATCGGTTTGTACCGAGTTCCCATTTGCGAGATATGTATCAAAACCTCCAGCTTCTCCGGCAAGGAACTAAAAGCGTTGAAGATTATCACAAGGAGTTGGAAGTGTTGATGATACGTGCTGATGTGAGAGAGGACCGCGAGGCTACCATAGCTCGTTTTCTGTATGGTCTCAATCGAGAGATCAAGAACGTGGTGGAGATACAACCGTTCCTTGAACTTGAAGATTTGGTGGATATGGCAAGTAAAGTGGAACGACAGCTTCGAAATAGGAGGTTTCAACCCTCCATGAATTCCACACGTTCGAGCCAAGGAGTTGCAACCAACCCTAAGCCGCAACTGCCCGTGAAAGAAGCTCCTAGACCCGCGGCAAGGGCTGATGGTGCAAATCCAGTTATGAAGCAAGGTGGAACGTCGGGGGAAATTCGTTGTTTCAAATGCCATGGAAGAGGACACATTGCGAGCCAGTGTGCCAATAAGAAGACCCTGATCTTGCTTGATAATGGTGAGTATGTATCGGAGGAAGAGGAAGAGACCACCGATTCTGATGTCGATGAGTCTATGGAAATGGAACCACCTCCTGGCAGCTTGTTTGTAGCACGGAGAGTATTGTCTGTGCAGCCTAAGGAGGAGAGTGAACAGAGAGAAAATATCTTCCATACGAGATGTGTAGTTGATGGGAAGTTGCTGTCTCTAGTGATCGATGGAGGAAGTTGCACGAACGTTGTGAGCGCGTGTGCGGTGAAGAGGCTAGGGCTGCCTACGTTGAAGCATCCAAAGCCATACACGCTGCAATGGCTTAACGATCACGGATCCATCAAAGTCACAAAGCAGGCACTAATGAAGTTCGAGATTGGAGATTACAAAGATGAGATTTTGTGTGATATAGTGCCTATGCAAGCTGCACATGTGCTTTTTGGCAGGCCATGGCAATTTGATCGACAAGCACAGCACGATGGAGTGAAAAATAAGTACAAGTTGCAACATGGAGGAAAGAAGTTCGTGTTGAAGCCTCTGTCTCCAAGTGAAGTATATCGAGATCAACTCCAAATGCAGCAACGTCGAGAGCAAGAAAAGGCAAGTAATGCCTCGGCCAAGAAAGGAGAAGAGGGAGCTGGAATTGTGGATTCGAAGGCAGTGATGCTAGCACGCAATGGAGATTTGAAGCAAGCTACCTGTGCACGAGAACCTTTGATTGTGCTCATGTACAGGGACGTGCTGCTCAATCAAGAGCTAGTCCAAGAAGTTCCAGCCGAAGCAAGAGTGGTGTTGGATGAGTTCGAGGATGTGTTTCCAGAGGAAGCACCGAAGGGGCTGCCTCCTATTCGCGGAATTGAGCACCAAATTGATTTCTTGCCGGGAGCTCAAATTCCAAACAAGGCAGCATATCGAGCTAACCCGGAAGAGACCAAAGAGCTGCAAAGGCAGATTGACGAGCTCATGGAGAAGGGGCATGTTCGAGAAAGTTTGAGCCCGTGTGCAGTTCCGGTGATTCTCGTGCCAAAGAAGGATCACACCTGGCGGATGTGTGTAGACTGCCGAGCCATCAATCAAATTACAGTTAAGTATCGTCATCCCATTCCACGATTAGATGATATGCTTGATGAATTACATGGCTCTACGGTGTTTTCCAAGATTGATTTGAGATCAGGTTACCACCAAATTCGTATGAAGGAGGGAGACGAGTGGAAGACTGCGTTTAAGACCAAGCAGGGTCTATACGAATGGATGGTGATGCCCTTTGGTTTAACCAATGCTCCTAGCACTTTCATGAGGCTGATGAACCATGTTTTGAGGCCATTCATTGGCAAGTTCGTGGTCGTTTACTTCGACGACATTCTGATCTACTCGAAGTGCATGGAGGATCATCTCAATCACTTGAGAGAGGTGTTGGCGATGTTGAGAAAGGAGAAATTGTATGCTAACCTCAAGAAGTGCTCGTTTTGCACTTCTAGTGTTATTTTTCTTGGTTTTGTGGTGAGTGCAGATGGAGTCAAGGTGGATGAAGAGAAGGTGAAAGCAATTCGCGATTGGCCTATTCCAACCAACGTGAATGAGGTGCGGAGCTTTCATGGGCTTGCTGGATTTTATCGTCGATTTGTGCCCAACTTCAGCACCATTGCCGCACCATTGACATCCATCATCAAGAAGAACGTGACGTTCTATTGGGGAGAGGAGCAGACCAGAGCATTCGAGCTGCTCAAGCACAAGCTCACGCATTCACCTATTCTGATGTTGCCGGATTTCAATAAGACATTCGAGGTGGAGTGTGATGCTTCTGGTTTGGGAATTGGAGCAGTGTTGATGCAAGAGAAGAAGCC